TGAACTGAGATGGGGAGAGGCTTCAGACCCCGAACTCTGACTTATAGGTGCTTCCAGAATGGGCGGGGCCTTTGGGGGCCCTAGGGCACCTGGACTGTGTGAGCGCAGGATAGGGCAGGGCACTCTCCAGGATACACTTTGTGGTGGGGTTGCAGGGCCCTTGAGAAGGATGGGATGGCCCAGGGCTGAAAAACGAGTGGTGCAGCCAGGAGGGGCGGGTGGGCTGCAGGCGCCTGGGCGCACGGTGGCCACCCCAAGTCCTCACTGAGCCAAGGCATTCCTGGTGCTTCAGGTGGCCAGTAGCCAGCACTGTGGCCGTGGTCAGGACACAGGCCCAGGCATCTCGCCTGGCCTGGCCAAGTGCTGACGTCACTTCCATCACAGACGGAAAATTCCATGTGGTCAGAGCCCAGATGCTGATGAGACAGTTCCCATCCTCTTTCTGAATGGGCCCAGGGAGAACCAGGGGAGGCCAGCCAGGGGGAGGGGAGGCGGGCCCCACAGGGAGGCCAGCGGAAGCCGATCTGAGAACCTGCCTTCAGGAAACCGAGGCAGAGGTCAAGCTTGGCACCTGGCCCTGGGACAGGAGGAGGCAAGAGGCTGCCTGGCCTGGTGCTGGTTCGAAGTGCTGAGCTAGCTAGGACTGGGGTCCCCTCCTGTGTAAACCAGAGGGTGCTGTCACCTCCCTGTAGGGCTGTGTGAGGCTGTCCTGGCACAGGGCCCACAGCTTGCATTCTGGGGCCACCCAGGGGCCCCACGAACCACCCAATGGGGTTGCTGTTGAAGGCTCTGGGGAGGAAGCGTCCTGCCAGAAAGCTGCCCCAGCTTCTTGGAGCTTGGGGTGGGAGTCCCCGGCGCCCCATGTTTCTGAGTGCCCACTGTATGCCAGGCTTTGGGACCACAGGGCACCGCCCCTGCTAATGGATGGGCTTATTGGAGTAAGTGTGGGCAGAGAGGGCCAGCGCACAGGTGGTGGAAATGGGGTCCCGTCCTCACAGTCAGGAGGGGATTCCTGGAGCTGGGCAGACAGACCAGAAAGGGAGGGCTGAGCCCGATGCCTGACGCCTGGCTTCCTGTGTGCAGGGCTGCAGGGGCGAGGTGGGACACCTAGGCCTCCATCTACCACCGCCTCCCCGGGCTTGAGTAACTCTCCTGCCCTTAGGTACCCCTCTCCAAGCCCAGGTTACATTCTCACTCTCAAGTGCCTGGGCCTGGGGTTTCTTGGGCGTTGATCCCACACCTGACTGGGTGCCTGAGACAGGGGACAGATGGGCGTGTCCTCCCCCAGGCGGGTGGCTGCAGGAGGCTGCCCCTGGCTGGCCAGGCCTGTCTTCCCCTCCCAGTCTCTGGCAAGTGTCTGATGCCCAAGGCTCTTGGGATCCCCCCACCCACAACCCTCAGAAGTTTACAGTCACTGCTGGGAGCTCATGGGGCAACTCCTTTATGTGTGTGTGTGTGTGTGTGTGTGTGTGTGTGTGTGTGTGTGTGATACGCATGTGTGGGTATAAATGTGTGAATGGTGGGTATATGTGCATGTGTGAACGTGTGGGTGGGCTTGCATGTGGGTGTGAAGGTGTGGGCCTGGGCGTGCACATGCTCCCATTGTCTGTGGGCAGCCCTGGGCTCCCTCCCCTCCAGCAGCCAGGGTGCCCACCCGCCTCCCGTCCCCAGCCCACTAGGCTGCATGTCAGCAGGGGGCCGGGACGTCCCTGGAGGTTCCCCAGGGAGGCCCTTTCTTAAGTCTTCACACATCAGCCCATTTGATCTGAGTAACCACACCAGGAGAGGGATGCCACCGCCTCTGTTTTATACGTGGAGAAACAGGCGCCGATGTCCAAGTCCCTGACCCAAGGTCACAGAATCAGGCAGAGAGGTAGCTGAACCTGGGCATTCTAGTTCCCTGAGAAGTGGACTCCCCTCTGGGGCCTGAGTTTGGGGGGGGGCTGTGGGAGCCGGGCAGGAGGCCCTCCCCTGGGCCTCTGTCCAGCAGCGGGAGGCCCCGGGTCTCCGGGTGGCCAGGCCCAGGGAGTTTCATGACCTCTGCCCCTGAGGCAGCGGGCACCGGCAGGGACTGTGCGACAGCGCCATAAACTGGGGGGCCCCAACTCTGCCCTGTGGCTGCCAGGGCCCTTCTCCCGCCTGACAGCCTGGGGGACGGGAAGTGCTCGCCCTGCCTCACGGGGCACACAGGGCCTGACCAGAGGCCATGCAGAGTCGCACATGGCCAAGCTGGGCTCGGACCAGTGGCCTCCCACGCCTGGCTGGAAAGAGCTGCTCACAGGCTTCTGGTTTTGTGTTTTAATTATAAAGGTAGTACGTGTTTGTGGCTTTAAAAAAATAGAAAAGCCAAAAAGAAAAAAAACCCAACAACAAAAAAGTAACGAAATCAAAGCTGTAGAAGATCCAGGAAAGGTACCTGTGCCACCCGCCCGTACGCCTGCCTTCCGGGGGCTGGGCCCTGGCACCTCCCAGACGTGGGAGCCCAGCTGCGCCACGCCCAGATGCCAGGATCTCGCTGGGCCAGCAGTGCTTATCTTGCCTCAGCTTTCTCATCAGGCAAATGGGAGTGGGTGGTCCTGGCGCCGCTGAGGCGGTGATCCAGCCTGTGAGCTCAGTCCTGGCCAGTGGCAGCGCCGACTGCTCACCCCAGGCTGAGCTGCGCGCCCTGACCTGCCCACAGGCCCAGGAGGGTCTCCTGGAGAGCACCTGCCTGGGTGCTGCCATTAAGCAGCAGCTCCAAGCCAGCTGTGTTCTGGGGGTGGGGGTGGGACCCTGCTCCCCCAAATTGTGTCCACTGAGGGAGCAGAGGCTGTATGGGGCCGGTTAATGTGGCCTGCAGAACCGTGGGAGCCAGGGTGGGCAGGGCTTCGAGGGGGCTGCTCAGTGGAATGGGGGCTTCTAGGTGGGAGTGGGCATGCTCTGATGGAGGGTTCAGGTAGGGGCCACAGAGGCAGGACCAGGTGACTGACGGGGGGCTGGAGGGTGACTTTGGTTACAGAGGTGCAGACATCCCTTGGGGCCAGGGTCCTGGGGGCAGTGAGCTGTCCTGCCCTTTGCCTCTCACCTGCACGGACGGGCCAGGCAGGGCCTGAGGCACCTCCAGTCTGTGCATGTAAGCGCAGACCCAGGGACCCCAGGTGGTGCTCTTCCAAGCACCCTGTGTATTGACTCCCAGTGTTGGGTGGGGTAGGGGTGATGCTGGATCCAGGCCCCTCAAGGTGAATGTGCCCCCACTATGACTGGGACCTCGCGGGGGCCTTGGGCTGAGAGGTGGCTCCAGCGTCAGCCCCACTAGGCCTGCTCCCCTTGCGCATCCAGCTGGTGAGCGGGCAGTCGGGTGGTCGGGACCCAACAGGTTCTCCTTGTGCATGGCGGTGGGTAGCTGCACCCCAGCTTGAAGGGCCATGGAGGGCACCAGCCCCACGCCGACTGTGCCAAGATTGCTTGTTGGGCGGCGGGTGGGAAGGGCTGGTGAGCCCGTGACTGCAGCCTCAGTGGTCCCCTGGCCTTCCCAAGAGTGCCGTCCTGCCCCACTGCCTGGCAACCGTCTCCTGGGAGACGGTCTCTGGGCTCCCGGGATGGGAGGCAGCGGTCCTAGTGCCTCCGGCTGAGCTTGTCCCAGGGGCCCCCAGGGGTGGGTGGGCCTGGGTGTCGCACCCCCAACAGCCCCCCCCCGCTGAGACCCAGGGAAGGCCTCGCTGCTGAGTGCTCAGACCTGGGAGGGAGGGTGTCTCCAGGGCCTCCTGAGGTCTGGGCAGCGCTNCGCACCCCCAACAGCCCCCCCCCCGCTGAGACCCAGGGAAGGCCTCGCTGCTGAGTGCTCAGACCTGGGAGGGAGGGTGTCTCCAGGGCCTCCTGAGGTCTGGGCAGCGCTGCGGGTGAGGGGCGCCCGTGGGGAGGCCCCCCCACGCGGTAGGCCTTCTTGCGGCCTGACTTGCCGCGACCCTGTGCCTCCCACCCTAGAGGGGGGGCGCGGGCCCCCACCCTTCCCTAAAGCCGGTTATCAGTGAACTGGGTGGGGCGGCCGA